ATAGCATTGGGGAGAATAACAGCAGTGGTCAGGGAAGGCCTCTGTAAAGGAATGACAAGGATTAGAAAGAGCCAGCTATGTAGTGTTAAGGACAGGGTAGAGGCTGGGGGAGTATTGTGTGCAGAGAGAATAAGAATAGCACGGACAGAGGTCCTAAGACAGATAGAAGTTAGTGTTTGAGGAACTAAGAGAAGGCCAGTCTGTCAGGAACTGGTGAAGTAGGAGATTTAGTAATGTGGGATAGTGATCTTTGATGTCTGAGCCATCTGAAACTCTATACCTAGATTAATATTTAAAATAACAACTTAACCCTCTTTTTTCAGTTACTAATTCATAATCTGGAATATGCTAACATATGATATCATACTGTATATGATGTCCTTTTCTTGGTATTTTTAGCTACAAAATGGCCCTAAATGTTTGCTGAATCCCGCTACAAGTATTATGTTTTATAAGTTTGGCAGTGTGGAATAGTAGTTTCAGGAATAACTTGGTAACAAGTGTTTGTGGCCATTCGGGGATACTGTTGCCTACTCCCCAATGTCATTTTCAGGGACATACACACATTTTCCTTTCTCTTGTCTCTGGTCTGTTGCCTTCCCCTTTTCCTTCCCTTTCCACCATTCTAGAGTGTTATGTGTAGAAACTTTTAATAATATTCAGTTGTAAAAAGTGAGCACATGTGATCTCTTGTACAGCATAGTGACTGTAGTTAATAGTATTTTAAAAATCACTAAGAAGGTAGATGTTAAGTGTTCACACCAAAAAAAATACGTGAGGTGATGCATATATGTTAACTCAGTGAGCCATTCCACAGTGTATACATGTTTGAAAACAACATGTTGTACATGATAAATATATATAACTTTTATTTGTCAGTTAAAAAAATTTGTTTTAAAAGTGACCATATCATTCAGAAATATCAGTGGCTGAGTCTGGCCTAGAATATTTATTCGTTTCAGTGTTCCACATCTTTCAGACTAGTAGTGTTTGTCTGTCCCCGCCCCCATGGTAAGTCATCAAGCTACAGACTAAGTGTTCTTTATACAGGTATACTACCTGGCCACTTGGTGTCATGGTGTCAATGGATGTCACTATACTGTATTAAAATACAGAAATTCTGCTTTTAATTTTTCTTACAGTGGTAGCAATTAGAGAAAAAGAGGAATAAGTAAGTCGTATGTAGGTAAAAAGCTAGAAGTTATTACTTTACTTTTGCTTTTAAGAGTAAGTGCATGTATTGTATTTGGCTATAAACAAATGGTGGTAAAAGAGACTGAGTTTATTGTTTATTTACTATTATCTTGGCAGAGAAGTTCCCAGTACCAGTGTGTTTATTTTATAAAAAGTCACGAGACGACAAAACTATCACTTCTAAGTATTTCAACTGTTGCATGTTTGGATTTTACTTCTCTGCATTTTTTTTTTTCCTGGCCACTAGATGACCAGGGATCTGCATCTTACTAAATGAACTGATTTCCTTGGTACAGTTTTACATTATTAGAACATTTTATTTTATTTATTTATTTATTTATTTTCTTTGAGACAGAGTCTCACTCTCTTGCCTGAGGCGAGTGCCATGGCGTCAGCCCTAGCTCACAGCAACCTCAAACTCCTGGGCTCAAGCAATCCTGCTGTCTCAGCCTCCCGAGTAGCTGGGACCACAGGCACGCGCCACCATGCCCGGCTAATTTTTTCTACATATATTTTTAGCTGTCCATTTAATTTCTTTCCATTTTTTGGTAGAGACGGGGTCTCGCTCTTGCTCAGGCCGCTCTCGAACTCCTGAGCTCAGAACGATCCGCCCGCCTCAGCCTCCCAGAGTGCTAGGATTACAGGCGTGAGCCACTGCGCCCGGCCTGTTAGAACATTTTAAATAAACTAAGTTTGCTTTAGTGAGATTCCTAATATATAATTGAATTTTGAATAATTTAAATTTTTTCAAATGTTAAATTGAACTTCTTAAAGCCAGTAAAAATATAATGCTGGTACTGAATTTTTACTCTGAATAAAATACGATTTTGAAAAAAGGTTTTCTATCTTTTCACTTTTTTTTCCCTTTTCTACTAACAATAGCTATAGTAGGACAACACCTTTCTGGGAACCTTAATTTAAGTAAGTTGCTCTTTTGTTTTTCACACTTCTCATCAGTCATCCATGCATGTTAGTAGTGCTGTCTAAATCGTACTTCCAAGAACCTCTTACCTTCTGTGCCGGTTGCCAGCACTGACATCTTGATTTGGACTCTGCTAAGTGGGTTGTCTTGAAAATTGTCCTTCCCATTCTATGCTTCTGTCACTCAACGAATGTTCCCCTCAGCAACACCTTAGATGGTCTTTTAGAAAATAATGTCTTTTCAGTTTTATTTTGTCTTCTTAATGAATTTAACTTAAATGTCAAAACTCCTTTGTTTTGTGGGACAAAATGTCAAGTAGAAATGACATAGATCTTAACAATTTTGGAATTGGTTCTTGACAGTATCATTACCATTTTCATCTCATTGAGCACGTTATAGGTATGGTATTATTTCTAAGCATAAATAATGCTTAAATAATATTGTAAACTAAGTCCATGGAATAGTTTGTGTTTTTTAAGGTTTGTGCAAAAAGCAGTGTTTCGTGTTTAATGTATGTGGTATTATAGATGTAAAGTTGAGAAATATGTTTAATCCTTGATTACCATTTATGATATCCTGAAAATGGGTTAACTTATATTTCTTTGAGTATATATTCTAAGAAAAGTAATATTTTGTTTCCTTTTATAAGTATTTTAGAAGAAAACAGCAATTTTTGTAAAAGTCTTAAAGTCAAAACTGGACTTTGTGTTAAATATACCTTAACTTTCTATCAACTAGTCACTGTAAAGAAACAAAATTTTGTTTTCTAAACAAAGGGTTATAATCAGATTAATCTTCATGAACTAGTACCTTAGGAAGGCACCATTTGGGTTGTAATCGTAGGATTTCTCTCACTCGTACACTTGTACAAAACAGCCCATTAAATACCATCTCTTCTAGGAGCTTCTGCAGAGCTTGGGGACCGTCCTCATGTAGGATCTCCCTATTACAGTGTTACAGAGAATTTAGGTATCATTCTGTTTTTAGTATTGGGCAGGGGCAGAATATTACCAGAGTTCTTAACCTCTTGAGATCAGGTGTGACGTCCAATTTAAGTTGTGTAAGATACCCATTTGCTGATTATCTGTTTGGATATTGACTTGTTTGGATACCTTTCTGAAATATATAGGAAAAGTACAAAAATCTTCTTTTCGATCTTTCTTTGATCATGTACCTCAAGAATGTACTTACTGAAGAGTTTATGCTTTTCTTCTGACTACAAATTACTTCCACTACATGTAAAACATTAGTATAATTTTGTATCATAATTCTATTATTAGGTTTTGTTTGTTTGTTTGCAGAGGGTTAGATTTTTAAATGTCTACTCTTTTGATAGAACTTATTTTCTCTCTTGCCCGTCCACCTGCCCTTCCCAAAGACTATAATTTAGGGCATTGTAGATACTTGATGTTCTTAGTACATTATTATTAAAATGTCATTTTTAAATGCTATTTATTAAGTTGATAATGTTAAGTAATTATAATACCAGAATGAGTATACATACACATAGCTGATATACTTAATTGAAGTTTTATTCATACTACTTTAAAGATAC